GGGGGGGGTGGGGGCAGTGGGAGTGGAGTTCAGAGACTAAATTATCACCCAAGTCCCTGCAGAAAGGAAGTTCAACCCATATGTTCTTTGGGAATCTTGCCTGCTCTGTGTACTATGTGCTGATAGCTCTGTACAGGTACATTTAGCTAGAGTGATAATGGGTACTTTTTAGAATATTAATTTAACTTGTATTTCAGTAAATAAATATAAATTAAAATCAACAATATATAATGTGCAAAATAAAACAAAGCCAAGCAATATTCCATCCCAGTTTTAAATTCCTACCCCACCCACTTAGCAAAACTTTGCTCTCTGAGACCAGAGTGGTCTTGAAAACATACTGGAATTTCTTCCAAAATAAAATCACGGGATATAAGGGAGAATGAGCATGGGTATGTTTCAAACATGACCAATCTTCTAGTTATCTTCAGGCATTCTTATCTTCTAGGAATAAACAGCTTTGGGTGTATTAAACTAAAACTTTTGATAAATATCATGATAAAATCAACCTAATTTTGTTTGTCATTGATCTCATTTGAGGATATCTCATTTCACTAGGGATGGTGGAAATATAAAACATTGCATCAGGTTGCTATGAACAGTTTTACTTTCATGAAACTGAATAGATACATGCCAAAGTACAATCTTGGATGCATTAATCATAAAAACTAAAGTGAACTTTTTAACCAATGATGGCTGCCAGCCAGTCTGGTAACTTGCAAGCAACTTCTTTTGGATTCCAGTACCAAACTAATTTTGATAGGCAAAAAGTATGGTACATCTCACATTGGCTCCCTAGAATTAGAAAGAAAAAGAAAAATTGATGTTGATAATAATTTGTTTCACTATTCAATACTTAACCAACTTTAAAATAAAGAAGGAACAAGGAAAAGAAAATGAATACTAATACATGTACAAACAATCACTAACATGCAATGACAAGTAATTTTAAATACTTTGACTGGTAGTTTGAAATAAATATTATAAAAAAAAACTAGACATAAAAGATGGCAAATATAAAGAGATAAAACACAAAAAAAAGAAACATAGAGAATCACAATGATTGGAATATATATGATGATAATAAAGATAGCATTTTGAAACACTGGCTAACCATGAGGGGCCAGAATGAAATTACAAGCTGTCAGTGAAGACTTTTTCAAAATCCAGAGGAAAAAAGCTGCACACCGTATTTCTTGCCGTGATCATCACAGTGCACTTTGTGGGCCTTAGAGCAAGGCGCAGAACAAGGGTTGAAGTCGGGCTTTGGAGTTGTTGTCAGCTTGTGAGCAGTGGTCATTTTGAAGACACTTGGTGTGGGCGTTTCCCTGCATTTACCTTTCCCAACTACTTTTACATTGGTGCCATCTCTGCAGTTTTTGATATTCAGATTTCTCTCACCTAAGAAACAGTGTGTTCTGAGTTATGGTTCTACAGGCATATTTGATTGCTATTTGAAGTCATGCACTTAGTAAACTATAAAAGCTGAGCTTATTACAAAATTGTCTAGTAATATTACATATTATGGCTAAAACAGCCTGAATGCATTTAAAACAAATAAAGGACACTAGAGTATGGATTATCATTCACAATACCAAAGTATATATTGTCCATAGCAGGGGCGGATCCAGAGTTATTTTCTGACAGTCTTCCAATTTATCCATTGATCCATCCTCCATTTTTGACTGTCTTCCGACAGAAAAAATTAGATACCCATCAATGTAAACTTGAAAATCTGACCGTCTTCCGGAAGACCCAGAAGACGCCCTAAATCCGCCCCTGCATAGGTGTTGTATAAAACAGCCCAAAATACATCTACATTTTGTTAAAGGCAAATCATTGCATATAAAGGTTTTCAGGAGAAGTTGTATGCTTACAATAATATGTTTTCCCATCATCTCCACACACTCGATTTGGCCATATACATCTATGCTGGTGAGAGCAATCCCGTTGTGCTGTAGTGGTTACCTTGTTCACTACTGGGGTAAGGGTCGGATTTGTGGCTTTTGGGGTGGCAGGTTTAGTGGCCTTGGGAGTGGTTGCTTTTAAGGTTGTTAGTTTGAATGTGGTTGGTTTGGTAGTGGTTGGTCTCAGAGTTGTGGTTGGTTTTATGGTGGTTGTGGTTGGTTCCTGTGAAGTTGTTGGTTTTATGGTGCTTGTGGTTGGTTCTTGGGTGACTGTTAGTTTTAGAGTAGTTGTTGGTTTGGGGGTGGTTGTAGGTGGTTTTCTGGTGGTGGTTGTTGGAAGGATTGTAGTAGTTGGTTTCTGTGAAGTGGATGGTTTGGGAGTGGTTGCATTTTGTTTTGGGTGAGTTATTGGTTTGGGGGAGGTTGCTGTTTTTTGTGTGGCTGTCAGTTTAAGAGTAGTAGATGCTGCAGTACTTGGCTTTGAAGAAGTCATCTTTCTAGAGGTTGGAACAGATTTAGTAGTTGTGGGGAGTTTATAGCATTCACTGTATCCTAAGACAGCTAATGATTGTCCAAGTTGCTTATTCAGACAAACTCCTATCTGAAACTCACATGTATTGCCTAAAAAATTTACATAAAAGAATTAGGCATTTTGGCAAGAATGTATGTCCAGCATCATGGCTTTTAATCTCAAAAAATATTGGAATAAAGGGTAAGTGAAATATTTTCAATGTAGACTTCATTATGAAAAATAGTTGGGCGGGTGAGCACCAAAAACAGTTTATAGATGGGCTCAGGAAACAGCTTGCATTGGCCATCATAAATCTAAACATCTGTGGCAAATGGTAGCAAAAATGAGACACAATCACAAACACAGAATCAGCAATCTTAACGGTGCAACAAGCGGCCATAGCAAAAGAGAAATGTAAGCATATAATGCAAACTTTTCTCAGTGTGAGCAAACTTGTACATCAAAATTAAATCTAGGTCTCTAGTCACCAAAAAACATGCCGACACAGGCAAGATCCAACATAATACCCCATATGTGATACTTGCATGCTGAAGATAAATTAAATAATTTTCCATTGTTTTGAATACAAACCATAAGTTCTTCCATCAGTTCCACATATTGGTTCATAGAACTCAGGGCAATCTTTTGCACAAAGTGAAGGCTGGCCATGCACATTTCCTGCTAAAAAAGAAAAAAAAGGGTGCAACATTAAGTTTTAATGAAGTACAAATAAATTAAATGGGAATATTGATTGACAATAAATAAAGACAGAACATCTTCAAATTTTAAAGACAACATCTACACTAGACAGCAATAAATTAGCCAAATTTTTTTAAGTTAAATCAACAGGCACAATTTCCGTAAACAATTACTTCTGCAAAAATAATCCTATCATGTTGACCTTGCAAGGAACCTGCTTTTTCACCAAATAAAGCCACTCAGCAATATTTTTTAAATATTAAATTTAAAAATAATACAAGATATAGTGACTATATATAAAAACCAGCAAATCTTATACATACCAAGAAAGCACAGCACCGATATAATTATAAACTTCATCATACTGTAATGGAATGACTATCAGACTTGTTTAAAAATCTGTGTGATGTCCACTAAAGATGTGAACTTTACACCTGTCCAAAGATTTGTTGACATCGAGACCAGTGTCCTACTTTGCTCTTATCTAATTGGCTTCAAGGTTATCTTTGACTAGACAGTTTGTTAAAGAACTCATAAGAAAATAATTCCAATCACCATCTTGGGAGAGAATAATGAAAATATTGTATAATCCCTTCTCAGGTACCATTATTAATTTCATTGACCAGTTTTCTTTCCAGGTTATAATTGGCGGTACTAAAGCAGTCACTGACTTTCTTTATGAAATATTGTAATCAAATATAATTTCTCAGCCTCTTCTAAAATTCTTAAATTGGTTATTTAACTCCTCAATATGATGGATTAAAAAAAAAGTAATAATAAGCCTGTGAGATCTCGTGTGGGCAATAGATAGAACAGACGATATTCCAAAATTGAAAACTTGTCTTTTTATAAAATTCACTTTCTAACAATGGTTTACAGTTGTTGTACCAATGTCAAATGATACCCCATTGTCACCCTTATGTTAGAAACCCACTTTAAACAAACACAATAAGAAAGATACATAAAGTTAAACATTCGTACACCCATTGAAGTTTCAGAAACTTTTTATTCAACAAAAGTAAGTTGCACAGTGAGTATGGTTACGTGGCAAACTCGACTCCATACAAGCATGATTTAACCAACACGAAAAATAAAGTGTGCAAATCAATACTAAAGCAATCAGTCGTGAGTCATACTACAGTACTAATTTGATCATGTCATACTGCAAAAGTGATTTGATCACAAAAAAAAAAAGAATTAATTAATAAAAAAAATAATAATAATGCAACAATCTTCTAAGAGAATTACTACACACCCTAGTAATTGTAGAATTTCATTTAATCCCCTTAATTTTCTAGCTCAAGTTCTTCATCTGAAAAACGTTTATCCATGGAAGCTTACAGAAAATATTGGCAGGAAAATGAATAAACACAAAGAATTGTGATAACTTAGTACCTGTTAAACATTCATTTCGTCGAAATTAAATATTTTTACACAGACATTGGTTCAACTTTACCAGTATGATTAAAAAATTAACCCAATTTCTCGTGCAACTTTAACTATAGAATAGAGATGCCTACATTTTGTCTACTTCTGACCATTCAAATCTGCGTTGAACCCTTTCCTCAATTTGTTGTCACAACCTTATCAAGCCACTCATAAATGCTTATTTCTGACATAACCACAAAACAGCTTTAACTTACCAAATTATACTTTTTAAGATATTCTGGCTAGTTCTAACTCTTACTACTTTCCTGCACATTTCTTTGACATCTATGATAGAAATTGGAAAAAAAATATACTATGAAAATGTTTTCATTTAAAATACCACTAATCAAATGACAATTTTTTTTTTCTCTGATGGAAGCACTTTACCAGACAAATGCTTTTTCCTATTTTCACTGATAATAGTTTGTAGAAATTGCTGCTATGTTTTATACACCCATAATGTCCCTTCTATCTTCATTCCTAACTTAGCTTTTTCTTTTGATGACGAGTGGCCCTACATTGTCACCAGTTTCCTTGTTGTGTGCATTATGAGTACCATCACAGTATGGGAACTGAAATAAAGATTTAAATCATTAAAATTAAATAATAGTAGACCTCACATATTGTACCTTTGATTTCAAACAGCTAAATATCACAAGGCACTTGCATCAAGAGTTTACTCCCAACACAAATGTTGACAAAAGAGAAAAAAGCCTTACTTTAACAATCCTGCTTGATCAGAAAGAACTTTCAAAACTGTTTTTCCCCTCTCATTCAGGGGTTTTAATGATATTCAAAAATAACTATTGGCATCTTTGATACCTTACTCCTGAATATCTTAACTTCAATTCAAAAGTTTGCACTTAGAAATGGTTCAATTTGTCATAAAAAGGGAGCAGTTACTCTGTAATTTTTTATTTGTTCTGGTCAAATAACTTTTTAAAAGAATACAATGATAAAGTGAAGATAACAAAATTAATATTTTTATTGGTTATTTTCCAGCAAATTGACCTGGTTATAAAGCAACAATTCTAAAAGGCAGTATAGTAGTAGCCACAGTGGTACAAAACAGTAGCAAACCTTCTTTGATCTCCAGCATCTACAAAATACACTTTTCTCTGCAAGATCTTCAATGTCTACAGCTGTTGCCACTTTCTCACATTCTTTTTGAATATCTGGGTTGATTGGAATCTTTTTCTTCGATGGCAGAAATGCTTGCACAGTGAAATATACCATCAATGACACTGTTCCAACAAATGGCAAAAGTCTCAACCAGTCACCACCTACATTAATAAAGGTAAATTCTAAAAATAATAATTTTAAAAAATAATAAAACTTTATGCATGTGCAATTACAAACAAAACTGGGCATGCATACTTATTGCAAAAAGGAACCCTCTTATCCTGTTGATTAAAAGGCTACTCGCAGACAGATAAATATGTATGTAATCAGTGGGGTCGTAGCGATAGTCCGAAGGTTCATTGGTCCGAATGTTCACTACAGAACCTTCGGACCAATGAACCCTTGATTAAAAAATCGATGAAAATGTTACCATTTTTCGGACCAATGAACCTTCGGACTATCGAGACGCCCCCGTAATCAGTAGAGCTAAAAGACATGATGTCATGCCAGCATTAAAACATATCATTCTAGTATCGTATTAATTCTGGTACCCAATATTTTCCCAATATCTTTATTTTGAGCCAACCATATCTTTATTTACATTACAAGTACAAGACACAGAGGGCATAAGGAAATCCTGTACAGATCCACAAAAGGAGCATTCACCTACAAATACTGTATGTGTCACACTTCATTTTACCAGTATTTTTTTCCTAGCCATTACTTATTGACAATGAGATGCTGTTATAGATACATCTACATAAAGCTAAATACAGTATAATTCCCATCGTGATAACAATCAGGGGAATCTCCCGATAATACTTATAAGTGATCAAAACTGTATCTGTGGATGGTATAAAAGCGTTAGCGTCAAACCATTTACTTTCGAAATGCGCATGCTGACAAAGCAGTTTCACAAAACTTCCTTCCTATCTTCCATATCATTTTCAAAAACGGTCTTTTGACCTTTGCTAAGACTGCCATAAAACTAACATGTCACATCTAAATTACAACGGGCGACATTTTCACCTGACATATCGGCAAGTCCTTCAAATGAGTCGGGAAATGGAAGATTTTTCAAGTAATTGGGAAGAGAAACTCGAACAAGGCCTGATACCGTCTCCATCACGCTATTTTTAAACCGAGGTTACAGGTAGGAGGTGCCAGGAAGTGCCTGATATTTCAAAGATTTTATATAATATAACAAATATGTGAAAAATTAACAATGAACTAAGATAGTTTAAACATTTATCATTTTCAAAATACCTTACTTATAGTTATTTAACATGATGCACATTATGCATGTTTGAAAGCACAGGAAACCGCTGTTTACATTATAACACTCCGCGTTTTAGCACAAACCTATACAAGAGGTTAGAGGTCAGTAAACTGGATGATGGAAAAATACCAGAGAAGCCGGAGAATTTCCAGCGATAAAGAACTACTGCACGATAGCAAGGTAAGCATTGACAGCAGGTGTTAATGTAAGGTAAGCATGTATTTTATACTGTATGTCCATATAAAGGATAATATGAAGGACAGTGGTGCTTTGTTCATATGTATTGTCTATTTTAATTGTAGATCTACCCCGAACGCAAAGTTTGACTTTTACTAGATAATATTTTTTTCTAAAATTAATCGTTTTGTCGTTAAACAAAATGATGACATTCTGTAATGAAGGCACAATGTACTCCGTCTGTTGAAATCGTGTAGGAATTTGCATTTGAAAAAGGCGAACGGTGTATACTTCATATAAATCGGCAATTTTTGATCAGCATGCGGGGGGGGGGGGGGATGAACATATTGTTACATTTTTATGTAAGAAGTATTAATTAGAAAATAACTAAAGCTGTCATGTAAACACGTAAGGGAAATCCTAATTATTTCTCATCCCCAGTGCTTGTTCCTTGCGTTACTTTGATACACTTGCCCAGTAGTAGTGGTAGTATTATATCTATCATGAACAGTTACTGAGTACATACTATATATACTTATATTAGCACGAAAATCTATGCGTTAGCACTCCTATTGACGATTCTGATGTGTACTGGATAGCACACATGAATTTTTGTGCTATTCTTATATGTGAGTTCTGCCAAAATGTATGTTGCTAAAATAGGTTTGTATTCTACTGATAAATGTGAACAAAATGATGGTAAAACTTTGATTAAAGGCCATTCAAAAGGGACACCAAAATGATAATTTGAATTTTAAAATGAAAAATTAAGAGTTGGTGAGAGGACTTAAAAAGTATAAATTTTATAGATCTTCAATAGATCTTCAGTTTGGAACTGGCTTTTTGCATGACCAAGTATTTGGCAAGTGTAACACGAAATCATTTTTACTCCATCCTCTCATTTTTCTTCTGCATTACTCTTTATTTCTAGGTTGAATTATTTTATTTAAATATATGATATATAACTACTGAACAAACTCCTTTTATCTTGTTCATCATGCAAACATGTACCCATTTTGAAAGCAGTACCTGTTAGAACATATTATGTCTTGTGGCTATTTGATCATTAATTTGAAAAGACTGAAGACAGATGTGTACTGAGTATCTTTGGCCTGTTTGACATTGGCTGAATGGATGTGTTTTTCTTATATATGGCATATACCTATAGGTTTAAGAAATACATCATAATTGTTTTGACTGTTATCTTGGGTATTAAAAGGTGCAGTATGTTATCATCCATTTATCATCAGTTTGTTCTGTATCATACTAAATCTTTCCTTATAAAATTGGGTCAGTTACACAAAGACTTCATGGTTTCCACTGATAGAAGCTGTATACAGTAATTTAAGTAGGATTTTTGGAATTTTCCTACCAGTACAACAAGTGTGTTGACCTGATATATCAGTGGCAGGAGTTATAATTTTTCATTTATTGTAAGGTTGTGGATACATGCGTGTACATGCTAGAGTAAGATCTATTATTACTTAATGATAATTTTGTAAGAAGATCTTTTTGAGGAATTTCACACACATACAGTGACACACACAAACAGACAGGAAAAATGTATTGTTTCATGCATTATAGCTTTTAATCTTGTCACAATATAAAGATGCCAAAGATACATAGTTCTGGCATTAGAAAAAAAAAAAAAGGTTCAGCATAGGTAGAAACAAAAGAATTATGAGCCCAGATATACTTAGTAACTGATCAACTGGATTTAATCTGGTGTGACCCTAACTTTCCTCTTACATGTATAGACTGGCTATAGATATTGGCAAATCACTTGTGTTACTGGAATGTATTTTATCATTAATTGCAAAATAAGCATAACAAGCACTGGCAGATATGAAGTCTGGATCTTATTGACAGTGGCGATAGTTTAGTTCACACCATATAAGATCAGGTAAAAATCTTAAAAATCCATTTGCAAAGAGTTTGCATTAATTGTAGCTTGGAATAATTTTACTGCTCATTTGATGAAGAGGGAAAAGAGTCCATATACTGCATGTCTGCCATGCTACAAAGTATGCAAATTTTGCACAGAATGTCTTAAGCAGCATCTATGTCCCTGGTTTATTTCAGTATCTACAGTGTTGCTTGTGCCAAGATCTGTGCAGTATGTTGGGGTTGACGGGCAGGTAAAAATATACTGGGGTGCATTTTAAATACTGTACATTACATTTGGAATACTGCTTCCGTCATAATGGATTCTTAAGAAAGATCAAATATGAAAATCTTTTTTTTGATTTTAACTCTCGAAGCAGATGGGTAGTTAAGCTAGGTGATATTTAATTGAATTTTTCCTTACAGTAGAGATGATTACATTTATGTTACTCAGTAGGGTGGGGTTGGAAAGTGATGCTTTATTTATAATTCGCAGTCACTAATTTTTTTCATCTAAGCATTTTGTCCCTTATAGAATTTTGGCTTTAAAAGACTGGATTTGTTATTTCTATACAATATTTAAGAAGTGAAAATTCAGATACTGGATATTGTCCAATTTTTTTAGAAGAATGTCTAAGCCAAGTAAAAACTCTTATGATTTGAATGGAATAGGTTTTGCTGCATGAAATTCAATGAGAAGCATTTTATGGATGTTTACATGAATATATACTTCTTGAATCTCATAGCTATTTTTATCAACTATGAACACAAATTTAATCAAATAAAGGAAAGAAAAATACTTATTTTCAACTTCTGGTCAGACACATGAAACATTTTGTATGATCATCCTTCCCCATTCTTGGCTGTATTTGTGTAGCTAGAACTGTACTATGAGGGATCATGAGATCTGTTTTATAACAGATGACTAATCTATCTCTCCATATTTCAGATTTAATCATCATGGTCATACCGTCGAAATGTCCGATGTCCGATGGCACTGTCCTGACACCATCAACAGTGTCTGTAACTCATACAGAAACGAGAAGCACCTTCACTACAGATCAAGTGTCAAATGAAGTTCTTTTGAACATACTATTGAATATTCCCTTTTTGGAGCTGAAAAAATGTACCCAAGTTTGTCAGAGGTGGAGGGTAAGGTTCACTTACATTTAGTCTTAATTTACTAAGTGAAAATATTTCTATAAAAAATCTTGAAAAATTATCTACAGTAATGTGTTAAAAAAAAATCCTATTTGTGTTATTTAGTTAAAATTAGTTTCAGGTATTTCCTGAGTTGAATTAAATAATATTTTTTCTCATATTGTAGGAGATGGTTGAAGGGTCATACTTCTGGCGATGTTATCTGCAAAAGAATTATTCACTGAAAACACAACTCAAGGTAGAAGGTATAGAAACTTATACATTCATTTATTTATCTTAGTGTTTTTTATGATATATATTTTTATTTTGAATTATTTGTTTTTATATTGCTTATGTTGGTGCTGATTAAAAATGTATAAATGAATATGTTTTTAAGTCCCAGGAATATTGTAGTAAGGCAGATTTTTCAGTGATACTTAAAAATTGTATTTGGAAATCATCAGTTCGCACTTTGTTGAAAATTTCAAATTCCAGAAAGACCTATAGTATATGCAGTGCTAGTACTAATAACTGTGTCAAAGTTTTTATGTGAAAAAATATCTCAAAGTTTAAAAAAATTGAGCTCATATACATGTACAATCAATTTCATTTCCACCTTACTGATGTGCCAATATTTAAGGTCTTTGCAAACCTGTGCACTTGCAAATGTATAACTGATTACCATAAGTCTTGGTCTTGCCATATGCTCTTATCAGTCACCTTAATTACCAGTTTTGATTACCTAGTCAGTGAGTTAAAATAAAGATAAAATCTCATTTGAGTCAGGCACAAATGAAAGAGGCCTTAACTGGTCTAAAATGTCAGTCCACATATACATGTTAATTGTGTTTTTCATAGATGTCTTTACTTGAATGAATTTTGTACTACTGGGGCTAGAGGAAAACATTAGATTGCATGAGTACTGACAACCCATTTCATTTTCACCGTGCTGGTGTGTATAATGTATGTATAAGGCTGTGTATATATTTGAAGGTCCTCTAACTGACTGGCAAGATGGCCTTCAGCCAATGTATAGAGGTGGCTTTGATGCACTTACTGTGCAGCCGGCAGAAGTCTTTCATAACCTACCCAAAAGACTGGACAATGGTTTGTGTTATTCTGAATAGTTTTGATATAAAGCATAAGGTCAAGGTTATAACTATAACAGGTTATTGACCGAGATGGCAATGTTCTAAAAGAATGAATGTAAATAAAAGGTTACTGTTATGCAATAAGTTATTTCAAGTTCAATACTTGGGAAATTTCCATAACGCCATTCTTTAAGGCTGTATTTAAGACTTATGAAAAGTTTTTTTTATTTCAGGTGTTCTCTTTCCCATAAGCATCCAAATGGACAAGGTTCCCTCTTCAAAAACTTTGATCACTCTGTTGGAGACTTTTAAGACCATCAAATCTACAATAGACAGTAATGGTTTAGTCTATGGTAAGTGCTGTGCCCACAAGCAAAATTTGCTAGATACAGAAATATTTAACTTCTTAATGTAAGCTTAACATTTCATAATTTGACAATATTTGTGGTACAAATTAAGGGAAATGTTTCTGAAAATAGATTTTAATTATATAGTATCATTTAACTTCTAAGATGTGATTTAAAGGATACAAGTTTCCTGGAAAGATTTTTTAATTAATTTTTCAAATTTTCTTTATCTAACAAAAGTCAGTCCTGTAGGAAGGAGGGTTCAGGGTTTCAAACAATTTGCCCTGTTGGTTGAGAAAAGGTCTGTTATGAATTGAGACTTGCCACTATGGCACTGGTCCACTTTTTCACAAGAAGGAATTACAAACCCATATATTTGTGAATTTGAATTTGCTGGCTACAGACCCTGAAAAGTGTAGAGTAAATACACACTATAAAATATGTGCCTAGGTCTATGTGTATTGAATATGTAAAAAAAAACAAACAATATTTATTTCAGATGGACAGATGGGGTTCGGGTGGAAGAGTGAGGGCTTTTGTCTAATGGATGTGTTCTTGTTCCCTTGGCAAGAAGACCAGCAGCCAACCAGTGAGGACATTAGCAGAATCTTTATGCTGAATGAAGATCTGAAGGTAAGCATCACTTTCAGTTTGTTATATATTATCAGATTATTATGTTCAGGACATTTCCTTCATGGATAACATATGGGTGTCCCTGCCAGAAGTATATTTAATAGAATTATGTGGACTAAACTGTGAAACAACATTATGTTGTCTGGATAGCTTAATCTTAACAGGAAAACTGTGAAGAGTGAGCATTCCTTTACCTTTTCACCTCCTTATAATTAAAGATAGATGCCCTTTACATTTATGAACCAACCATGGTAACAAACCTCAACACTTTCTAATTCAGGACAGCACAATACAACAGAAGAAAACTAAGAGCCAGCTGACCTGTGTTCTTAGCCACCTTGGCTTCCAGCATTGGGTCAGTGATGCCCTATGTCCAGGCAAAGAGTGGACACAGCTGTGTTTCAATGTCCACGACCCCACACACATGATGTGCCCTAGTCCTGTATTCCTGTATAGTGATGTTGCACCTGGCTGGATCGGGGGCATTCTGACAGGATTATGGTGATTATTAGGATGTGGACTTCAATTGGATTCTGTTAACCCAGCGTTTGTAGGAATTATGTCAAATTGCCTTTCAACTCCATGTGGCCAAGGAGAATCTAAGTGTTTTTTTTATAAGTGATAAAGCCTTTAAACCCGATGTAACCAAGGAGAAACTTGGATGTTTGTAGAAATTTCAAAGAATTCCAACCCCATGTTGTCAAGGAAAATCTCCTGTGGAGTATGGATTTCGACTGAATACATGTAGGACCTGGATGCACAATGTATGTGAAATGTGAATTTTGACTGTGATTTTTGAATGCCAAACAAGTGACATGATGGCTGCTTCTGCCCGTCTTTTTGTTGATCAATGCGGGAGCAGGTCTGGATCCTATGACTATGACTTTTTCGCTAAATGGCAGTCTCATCCATGATAGCTATACCACCAGCAGGGTGCTGGTGGTACACATAGTTTTAGTCCCAACCTGTCTCATTTATTACATATAGAAATCAGCAATTTGAATGATGGAGAGTCATTCTGGTTAACTACACATTAAGTTTGCCAGTTGAGGTTAGACAGCTTTGTAAAGTTGATTAAATGTGGTAATGACACTGACAACTTAATTCAAGAGTTTGGGCATGTTTGTACAGAGACTGGTATGCAGAAAATGGTCCTACTTTGTAGTAAATTACAGTATTAAAAATATATACATATATATATATTTCTATTTTCCAGGAATTATTATTAATATTATTATTATTAAATATCATATATTCAATTTTTATTATATTTATATGCCATAGTCATTTTGCTTTCATCTACATTAATCATCAACTCTCTTCAGGAACATTCTTTGAAGAAATCACAAGAGATCATTTTTATTTAACATTTATCAGAAACAACTTTGTTGTACACGTACGTAGCAATCTGACAATTCATTAACATCATAAGTACATTACTGAATATATGTGATTTTTACATTTGTAAATCTGGCCTCATCAGCAACACTAATCCATGGATTGGATCTGATAATAATGTTGGGCTGTCACCATGTGTGATTTTCTGTATGTCACAAGCTTTTACATTTTCTTACTTGCTCAGTTACAAATCTTTGGTTTTGCCTTCATTTTTCATCATTTCACAAACATATTTTTGTACAGGTGGATTGTACCATCATATACTGGTATATTGGTCCAGCAAAATGCCTTAATAAATGGAAAAATTGAATTGTTTGAGTGCTTTGATCACCGTCTCGGTAAAGCCACAGTTCTAGTCTTGATGACATTTTCAGTGCCATTGTTCTTTACAATTTTTAAATTAACTTCATTTGTTGCATAAATCTATAAAATAACAAAATTGCTTGAGAGCACGCCAAAAATCTAGCATAAATATCTTGATCACAAAATATTTTACTTTCAACAACTTTTTAAAAATATAACCGACCAACTTCTCTAAGAATCGTACTGACATCCGGTGCGACCCCAACAACTACAGATATCCATGTTAAGAGCAACTGGCATATTTAAAGTTTGTACAAGTTAGTGGGGAACTTGTAACACACTTATGTGTACTAGAAATTACATCAATTCCATAATGTCCGGGTCCTAATATTGCAGACTTCAGACAAGTAACCTTGAAAAATGCACAGAAATGGTTTCAACACTAACAAGTTGCTTCTATAGGTAAAATTTCACTGACAAAATATGTCTTAATCTTAACATTTGTTGTCTACACAACGTACACCAGAAAAAAGTGTGTGAGCAAATTTTAAGTATAATTAAATGCCCACAGTAATTAAATACTGGTTATAAATCTTGTGTTAAGTTGAGAAAATAAAAATGTTTGAAGCACCAACTCCGACTTATCAAATATTAACTTGCTGGATGAGAGTGGATGGAAATAAAAATTGCCATGAAAACAAAGCTGTAATTTTTGTGGTTTCCTTCAAGACTAATTAATTTATAAATTAGTCTGCTTCTACCAAGTATATGCAAAGTAGTATTTCAAATGGCAATTCCAGTAATACTCCATAAAATAGGCAAAAATTTTTTACAGCATTCATTAAAGCATTAATGGTGCACAATAAGCTATAATTTTCATTTCACAAACATGTTTTTGTACAGGTGGATTGTAAAATAAATAATGTCATAACACAAAAAATACCACATTTAACAGAAACCTGTTTGTTAAAAAATATTACTTTAGTCATGATGCCTTCCTCAAAATCTATTTTGTGATAAAGATTAATGGATGCTCATCCTATTTTTCAGCAAAATTGAAAGTTTAAGGTAATTTTCTGTTTTTCTTAAGATACTAATTTCCTGAGAAAATTAATTCACAAATCGATTAGGTAGTATCTGCTGGGCATTTCCTCCTTTTGCCTTCAAAATACAAATATTCTTAACTATTTTTGGAAGATTGTTTCACAAAAAGTTTGCAAAAATTGTAGAGTTAACTTTCCAACATGGGTCTCAGACTGTTTTACAAATAATTGACCTAAACAATGACAAATTTAGGTAGGCTTTTGTCACCATGCACTGTCAATGAAATAAATGTCAATATAAAGACACTTTATCTCACCTTAGTTTAAAAAAATTTGTAGCCTTTTAATTTTCTCTGTAAAGTTTACCAAATAATCTTAGCAGTCTTTGATAAGGTCAATATTCACGATTTAATGAAACAGGCTCCAGTTTCAACAAAAACTTAAACATAAATACATGTATAAGCCTCCATTAAAGGAATATATCTATCAAATGCTATAAAAAGGACAACTGTTTAAATTTGAAACACCATACACCACCAGTGAGAATGTAAACAGACTTTAAACCATGTCTCACCATCAAAATATTACATCATCATCCTTACAACAGCAACATTGTACAGGAGCAGAATAGAATATACACATCTTCCTTAAACTTAGAAATCCAAATGGTTCTCTAATGGTGTAAAAAATCAAGTTTTGTTTCATTCACCTGCATGCTAGACTTGGAGATAGATAAAGAGGTATGGATTTTAGTGGGAACAGTTAATAATTCTAGGCAATTTGCCTTAAAATCTTTGATGTGACCATTCATGGAATTTTTTATTGAGTTCAGTGTCTTTATTTAAATATCCAGTGCCAATATCTAAAGGAATGTTGATTCTTTTTGAGGAATACTAACCCTCCTCAAAATCACATGCAACTCTTCACTTGCTTCCAGCCAAGTTTAAAATAGTCGACTTCTCTAAGAGAGAGTGAAGGCCATGGTTGACAGNCAACAACTTTTTAAAAATATAACCGACCAACTTCTCTAAGAATCGTACTGACATCCGGTGCGACCCCAACAACTACAGATATCCATGTTAAGAGCAACTGGCATATTTAAAGTTTGTACAAGTTAGTGGGGAACTTGTAACACACTTATGTGTACTAGAAATTACATCAATTCCATAGTGTCCGGGTCCTAATATTGCAGACTTCAGACAAGTAACCTTGAAAAATGCACAGAAATGGTTTCAACACTAACAAGTTGCTTCTATAGGTAAAATTTCACTGACAAAATATGTCTTAATCTTAACATTTGTTGTCTACACAACGTACACCAGAAAAAAGTGTGTGAGCAAATTTTAAGTATAATTAAATGCCCACAGTAATTAAATACTGGTTATAAATCTTGTGTTAAGTTGAGAAAATAAAAATGTTTGAAGCACCAACTCCGACTTATCAAATATTAACTTGCTGGATGAGAGTGGATGGAAATAAAAATTGCCATGAAAACAAAGCTGTAATTTTTGTGGTATCCTTCAAGACTAATTAATTTATAAATTAGTCTGCTTCTACCAAGTATATGCAAAGTAGTATTTCAAATGGCAATTCCAGTAATACTCCATAAAATAGGCAAAAAATTTTTTACAGCATTCATTAAAGCATTAATGGTGCACAATAAGCTATAATTTTCATTTCACAAACATGTTTTTGTACAGGTGGATTGTAAAATAAATAATGTCATAACACAAAAAATACCACATTTAACAGAAACCTGTTTGTTAAAAAATATTACTTTAGTCATGATGCCTTCCTCAAAATCTATTTTGTGATAAAGATTAATGGATGCTCATCCTATTTTTCAGCAAAATTGAAAGTTTAAGGTAATTTTCTGTTTTTCTTAAGATACTAATTTCCTGAGAAAATTAATTCACAAATCGATTAGGTAGTATCTGCTGGGCATTTCCTCCTTTTGCCTTCAAAATACAAATATTCTTAACTATTTTTGGAAGATTGTTTCACAAAAAGTTTGCAAAAATTGTAGAGTTAACTTTCCAACATGGGTCTCAGACTGTTTTACAAATAATTGACCTAAACAATGACAAATTTAGGTAGGCTTTTGTCACCATGCACTGTCAATGAAATAAATGTCAATATAAAGACACTTTATCTCACCTTAGTTAAAAAAAGATTTGTAGCCTTTTAATTTTCTCTGTAAAGTTTACCAAATAATCTTAGCAGTCTTTGATAAGGTCAATATTCACGATTTAATGAAACAGGCTCCAGTTTCAACAAAAACTTAAACATAAATACATGTATAAGCCTCCATTAAAGGAATATATCTATCAAATGCTATAAAAAGGACAACTGTTTAAATTTGAAACACCATACACTACCAGTGAGAATGTAAACAGACTTTAAACCATGTCTCACCATCAAAATATTACATCATCATCCTTACAACAGCAACATTGTACAGGAGCAGAATAGAATATACACATCTTCCTTAAACTTAGAAATCCAAATGGTTCTCTAATGGTGTAAAAAATCAAGTTTTGTTTCATTCACCTGCATGCTAGACTTGGAGATAGATAAAGAGGTATGGATTTTAGTGGGAACAGTTAATAATTCTAGGCAATTTGCCTTAAAATCTTTGATGTGACCATTCATGGAATTTTTTATTGAGTTCAGTGTCTTTATTTAAATATCCAGTGCCAATATCTAAAGGAATGTTGATTCTTTTTGAGGAATACTAACCCTCCTCAAAATCACATGCAACTCTTCACTTGCTTCCAGCCAAGTTTAAAATAGTCGACTTCTCTAAGAGAGAGTGAAGGCCATGGTTGACAGGTATGAGGAAATCGGCAATGATGCTGGAAAATCTTATGAACACATCCCTACTTAAGTAATCTTTAAGTTGACATAATTCTAATAATTTTTAAAGCACAAAGCACAGTCAATGCTTCATCACAGCAAATCCGGCAGCCTCATTTTTGTTTTTGGTACAAAACGAAATGAAATTTCAGATACATGACTTGAATTTGAAACAGCATATTTGCTGCTTGCTGCCAGTATCCTATTGCCAATACAAATCACTTTTTGTGGCATCTTCTCAGTATATTCACCCACTGTCATTCAACATACATTCCATACAAAAAAGCAGCAACTCTGACCAGACATAATTTTTATCTTGTATTAATTCAATGGCACAAACATTATGACAATACTCTGGGTTGGTTATGTAGAATCTTTTTCCTTTATCAACTGCCTGAATACGTCTACTTCTTTAATACTGGTGGATAACCTAAAAGGAAAATAATTAAGGAGGCTATGGTAATCTCAATTGCACAAGGTTGATAACAATATTTTGTTTCTCTGAACTGACCCATTAATTGATGATCTCTAGAATCAAAGCTGAAGAGAATAAAATACAAAGTGACAAATCCTTAAAATCACCATCATGCAGAGTTCACTGTACAAAGCTTTCTAGAGTTATAATAAATAAATCTAGTAACAAATAAAGTAAATATTAAATAATATAAATCATCCACAAGACAGCAAATAATTACCTTCCAAAGGCATTAAACAATGAAACTATTTCTGATCTGCGTAGCTGGAAATTTTTCTTCTGTTGTGCGTCAACTGTGGAATCAGGGCCCATTGTATCTCCAGAGAAGAGGATCTTCAAGGCAGTACCCATACCCTGAGTCTGAAATTGTAATTAAACAATATCAAATCCTCAAATTTTTCTTGGCCGTAACTGTAAGATATATCAAACTGTTTCATGACCTTTAATAGATTCAAAATTGACAATTTATAAATATAAATGTTTAAATCATTCGTTGTCCTGTTAAATTGCAT